TTTTTTAACAACCTTTATCCTATTTAATATTCAACATATATTATAATGTTGTAAAATAATGAAAATAGAAAAAATAACACTAAACTAAAGAAATTTAATATCATAACTTTCAGGCTTTATAAAATTAAAGAGCAATAGACTCAAACTATTTTGACCCACCTGATAACTTGTCTTATAAATCTATAATATATAACTGACCTTAAAAAATTTCCTCAGTTTGTATAACTCTTTCAAACTCCCTATAGTGCACCTTATTTCCCACCCATATATCTTCCTTTCATTAACTGAAGTTATTTTATGATCCTACTCTTTTGGACTCGAAAAGGTATCGGTGCCTTTCGCCACCTGCAATTGCAATCATTTCTACGGGAACTTTGAATCACATGGTCAGTAAATTTGGTCGAAATCAAATAACGATAAAAAATCACACGAATATTAATTCGAGGAACTGCAAAGACCTTCAGCCAAAAGGCGGTCGAAAGGCAAAGGCAGTGCTGTTTATGAAATTTATAGTTGCGGTCTAGGAGAAAAGACGGCAATCGTTGAGTCCCAGTTTTAGTTCAGGTCGGGTTCGAGGTTCTACTCGCCATTCCACAGCTGGTCGTGTGAGAATGTTTGGGGCACATGTGCCCCAGTCCTCATACCCAGCCTCAGCCTTAGCTCCATCTTCATCCTCATCCTCATCCACGTTCCCATCCTCCGTCTCGTCCTGATCTCGGCCTCAACCCCGGGTTCAACTGCAAAGGGGAGCCTGCAAAAAAATACATTTAAAAGAATCCAATCCAACTACTGGCCAAGTCCGAAGATCGCCTCTAATGGCAATGCAAAGCTGGAGTCTTTGTTTCTGTCCTCTCCACTTTTATGCGATCAACTTCCATGGAAGTGGGAGCTTAAGCCCGACGATGAAAATATTTATATACATATATATATATAAGTATTTGAGCGCAGACTTATCGCCAAACAAGATCAATAAGCACGATATCAATAAGCACTGGTGTTGTTCCAGGCCGAGTAACAAGAACAACGCTGGACGAGCAACTGGCGCAGATCCAGGCTGATGAACACCGGGGCAGGTGGGGTTAAATGGGGAATGGAACTCATGGTGGGGGAGTACTTGCGAGTGCTCACACGAATATTAATCTAACTGTGCCAAGAGTCCTTTCTAAAGACCAAATATCGTCTGCCTATATACTTATAAGTTGAAAGCTAACTGAAAGATTGGAAGGTAATAAAAGACGAAGAGATCAGTGACGCTTTTAATGCTGATTAAATCAATCTATATAAGCTAATGTATTAGATGGTTCCCTACTCCTGATTTGCACTTATCCATTGTTATTAATATTAACTAATTTATAGAAAGATGTTCTAGTCTTGAAATGGCACGCGTAGACTTACAGTTGGCTAAAAACCTTAATGTTATTCTAGTACAAAATTCACATGAACGAAAATTTTTGGTTATTTTCGTAAATTTGTAAAATGGTTTTTATAGAACTACTTTTAGTTTTTATTTTGCCTGAAACCCCTAACTATTATACAAATTCTTAAACACCTAATTTTGTTCATTGGTAATTAAACATTAGGATAAATTAAAACAAAAGTTTACCTATGCTTTAAAGGTTGCTTTTGAGTACTTATATTTTATGACCGCAGCAGTATGCATGCGCCCAAAGTTAAGAGACAAGAAGGAACTTGCTTTTCATTTAAATTCAATTTATATTTTAAATTAATTAAAAATTTGTATTTTAAAAATTGAAAAGTTGAGTTTAATTTAATTAATAAGCTTTCTTTTGAAAATTGAATGATTTCTATACCATCCTTAAGGCCATATAAGAAAGCGAAAGTAAAATAAAATAGTTATCTTTCCAAGTTCGTAACTTAAGAACTGACCAACAAAAGTAATTAATGGTACGAAATGAAAAACAGCAGTCAGTGAGTTTTTTCTGATCGTCATTATGTGGTCGACTAAAAGCGAAAAAATTTGGGTGAAGAACAAATGCCTTCGAAATTTGTCAAAATTTGTCTTGCTTGTCATAATCATTAGCCAGATTACATTTGTTATTATTATAATTCCGGCGAGATTTCGAAGAACAGAGGAGCAGAGCGGAAAATTATACCACGAAATAAGCCCAACGACCACCGATGCTACATAGATGACGGGATTGGATTGGATTGGTTCGGTTCGGTTCGGTTTTAAAGCCGCAGCCAGTATCTGTTTGTGTTTACTTGTGCTGGTTGTTTACCCTTCTGGCATTTGCATATTTTGAATGTTCGCGGGCGACTCGTGGCACGTTTTACAGAAAACCGCGGGGAAACGAAAGCGAAAAAAAAAAACTTTATCGATGATTGTGTGGGCGAGTCATGCGGCCCAGTCTCTTGACGACCTTTTCATAGTTCTGCATGTCTTTTGTTGTTCGTTCGTTCTGCGGTCGTTGGTTGTCAAACAATTGTCACAACGTGTCGGCATTCACACGAACTTTATGTTTTATCCAACACCTCGGCGCAAATCTCGCAAGGGTTAAAGTTTGCGTAGAGTTTGAAGTCAGGCCCCGAATCCGACGTGGAGTGGGAGTAATGGTGGCCGATCGGTGATCCATTGCCCTACCGCATTGCACTCGGTTCATCAATAACCGTCTGCGGCGGTGTTCCATCAAAAGTCGCCAGCGATTGTACAAAAACCCAACACTCCAACTGAAGGGTCCTTCAATTCTTGGCTAATAATGAGCGGAACCTCAGCGGTTTCATTGTTCTGGCCCCTCTCCGCGCCCTCACAAATATGTATTCATTATATTTATGGCACAATTTTGCTTTCAAAAGGAGGGGAAACAAAAAGAAACACTTGTACCCTGGGCCCGGGGACTCGACTGACAAGCGGAATATCTTTTTTCTCGCGATCGATCCAAGGAACCAGCGAACAATCGAACGATGGACGATCGGCAATCGATGGATTGGTTCCTCCGCCGAATAGATCACTCAAGCGAAATGAATTATTGATGGCCTGATCGGCCAAAGGGTAGGGTAAATCACACACAAAAACACATTGCTGCAGCTCGAGAGATGAAATGTAACCAGAGCTTTGACTTAATGTGGCAGCTCAACCAGATCGATATGTCCATACAACCGAATCGAATCGAATCGAATCGAAACTGCTCAAGTTTTGTGACTTTGTCAAGTCCTCCTCCTGCTTGCGCTGATCATTTGTGATATATTGTTTCGGTAGCAGTTTGTTAAACGTGATCAATTTTTAATTACCCATCATCATCATCATCATCATCCATTCGAAGGCATCCATCGGTCGGTGATCGGTGATTGGTGATTGGTGATCGCTCGATTGTCGTATCAATCGCACCGCACAGAATGTAACTCGGACGTTTGTCGCATGTCATTCAACGATTTATGCCCCGAGCGACTTTAATAAATGTGTCTTTGCCGCTTTTGGCCCCAGCATCGTTGCAACCCAGTACCTCGGCTCCCTTCCTTTGCTGATTGAGGCGACTTCGTCCCTGTTGATGTGGCGCCGTTGTCGGCTCCCCAATCCCCCAATTCCCCAATCCCCACAAACCGCCATTCCCTCCATCCAGTTCCCCATTTGGAGCGTGTGTGCGCAAAATGTTTAATTAGTTTTTGTCTAATTAACACTTGGAACATGGCGAAAGCGACTGGAGTCGTGTGCCACCAAAGGCGTGAAGATCAAAAGGTAAACAAGCGTCATCGATCTTAGGAGCATGTGAAGGAAAGTTGAGTCCGGAGAATGCCATTGGGGTTTTAATTCAAATGTCTTGGGAATTTAGTTCACTTTCATTTGAGCCAAATTTATTAATTTCATAATAAATTAATAAAGACATTTAAATGATTGTATGAAGTATTAATGCTTATTAATATAACATTAATATTAGGAAGTAAAAGTAACAAAAAATGTAAGGAAATCAAAAGAACCTAAGAGGAAAAAGTAAATTTTTGTTGAAAACTATAAAATGATTGTGGTCACTGAATAGACTACAGAATCATTATATTTATAAAACCATTTAAAAAAGTATTGCCCTTTAGAAACGCTAAAACATTAACTAAAAAGTACTGTAGCTAAATGTCAAGTCATCATAATAGTGAGTACTTCATGAGTGTAGAGGTTTCAGAACTAGCATCCTTGTTTAAAGTATTTTTTTTATTAAAAAAAACATGCTCTACTTTAGTGAACCCCATTGCTTTTTAACTTTTGCAATCCTCTGTTTAAATCTGGATCATGGCCGCCGGACCAACAATATAATTTCTTGGTCTGCACACGCCCATTTTGCCACCAGAATTCCACAGCGTCCAAGTTTCGAAGGTTCCGAGGTGGCGAGCCCTTAGGCAGCGCACAAATTAAGGTGAACGCCCACAGCACGCGCCGGCAGAAAAAGTAGGGATAGAGAGCCAAGAGCCCGAGAACCCGAGAATCGAGGACCGAGGACCAGGAACCTAAGCAGCCAAGCTGGCTGCCAAAACTCCAGTGGAAATATTTGCCACTTGAGTTGCGGTGGATCCCCTTTTCCTCCTCTCGCCGCGATTGCCACTTGAAGTTCTTGGCGCGCGCGTTTATTTATTTTGGTGCGGGGCGCAGAGTAACAAATTAAAAAGTAATTCTCAGGCGCAGCATAATTAGCTGCTAAGTGACACTAATGGGGCCGCAGTTGCACTGCCCCCAAAAATCCTCCCCCTTTTGCCCGCCCATCCTCGTGTCCCTGGCCGAACTTGATGCACTTTTTCCCCCATTTCGGCGCGGCGTTGTGTGCGGGCAATGTGAAGTTTCCGTGATGGTGAGTGAGTGTTCGTTGGTTTAGCTAATTGAGTTTTGTTTTTCGGGCCAGCGGTCCACATGGCCACTTGGCTCCCTTGTGGCTGCCAAGTTGAGTTGGCCCAGTAATTGATGGGCCTGCTGAAAGCAGGGCTCTTGGCAGTGGGGAGATCTAGAAACTGCTAGATAATCGAGGGTTGCCTTGCAACAGTTGACAGGCAAGTTAGTTTGTTTCACCCATTCCCTACGCAGCTACACCCAAGAAGAGACTCGACCAGAAATGGTAAGCATACAACTCGAATTTACTTGATCTCTTATACCTAATCCCGTCACAAGTTCCGTCAGGGTAAGCACAAGCTGAGCTCTGGCAGCGTATCCTCAAAAGATCCGGCTGAATCCATCTCAAGTAAAGATCGCAGAAATATAGTCTCAAAAGACAAATTTGAAGAGGACCAACCCAGAAAGTTCTGTAGACGTAAATGTTTTGTAGAGAGTTCCGGACATGTTGAATACCGCAATGGCAGAAATGCTAAAGAAAAAGTTTTTAAAACAAACTTCAATCAAAAGGAACAAAGTTATCAGTCAAATGCCGAAGACTTTTCGGATGAAAAGGTCGAAGATGCAGCCCAAGATATAGAACCCTTATCTAGTGAAGGGATGCCCTCTGGCTCCACTGACTGTTCTAAAAGCTTTAGCCAAATCTATAGCGAAATCTTCGAAGAGTCCAAGGAACGACAAGAAAAAGCAGAGCGGGCATGTCGGGCCTACAACATAAACAAATCTAAACTGCGTAGGACCCGTGAAGTATGTGAGTCTGGTGGTCCGGGAAGTGGAAGTGGAAACTATGATAGCAGCTGGGAATCGGAGTACTCTAGCAAGTTGCCAAAGAGTTCCCGGGAATATGACAATCTATCGGTACAAGGACAGCTCCAGAGCATAAATGGCAGTCGGGAGAAAGATTCCCTGAGGGAACCTCTTAACCATGAGAAAAAAATAGACAAAAATATTAGATTAAAACGTTCCAAAATACCTGTAAATAAGCCAGAGCATAAAGAAATGTGCAGTTCGCACAGAAACCAAGAATCGAAGAAACTCTGTTCTCATCGACCGGAAAGTAGGTGTTCTGATGATAGATCTTACGTGTGCAAGCACGAGTCTTCAGGGTTTAGCTTTAGCTCGGTATGCTCCAGATCAAGAAAATACCATTCTGAGGACTACAGCGCAAGGGTGACTGATGGCTCCGATTACCCAGCCGACGGCAGAGGTGACTCAAGCACTGGCATTCCCACTACTGCGACATCGCAATTCCGCTCACAAAGAGATTATCTTTCGAGCGGCAGCACACGCCATCGTCATCATCATCATTATCGTCGCCAGAGAAGTGTGCCCAAGACGTATCAAGATCGTGGAAATAGTCCCATTAACATCAAGACAAGGCGAAAAACGCACGACTACCATGAACTTTGCAGCGAAATTGGCACCGAAAATGCGAGGAAGGGTTTGCTTGGCCGATCAAGTGCCTCGGTTGGTGTCCAATACCCCAGTGAAGATGAAATCGAGGATTGCTCTACTGGTAGGACTAGTAGTTATCCAAATTCGGAGCAATGTCTTCCAATCGAGTTTGAAAGTCATGAAGATTGCTTGTTGAGCACTGAAGAAATAAAAGTAATGAGCACCATTAATAGTGGAAAAAAAACTTTTCAGGATATTGAGATCAGCAATATAGATCATCGTAGTATGACCACTGAAGAGGAAGATCGACTACAAAGCGATCTAGATATGTACGATGATGAGCCAACTGATACGGTGGATCTCGAGATATCCGATAAAGGTGAAGCATATAATGATGAATATAGCCAGGACACCGAGATAAACGATGAAAAGGAAGACTTTTCTGATGAATATGATCAATTTGCCCAAAAACCAGACGACGACGAGGTAAGTATATTTCACAACAATGGAAATATTTTACTTATAGACCAGCAATATCTCTCCCAGGAATATATTCAAAGTGATCAAGAACTGAGCCATGATTATGAACAAGATATATCCTTAGGTCAACATGAAATCTGCGATAAAGAGTCAGAGCAGTCCAAGAAAAGAGCTGAAGTTAAGCCCAAAAGCCCACTGAGTCTTAAGATATACAATGCTGATGAGGCCCTGATGGAAATTCCCGAGGATTTTGAGGGCTCTGCGGTTGTTCTGGACGACAATGCTGACTTCCTGGACATCACGTTGACCGATGATGAGGAGCAGATCCGGGCCAAGTTGATGGCCGCAGCGCTGACCACCAGAAGGAGTGGCTGCTCCATCAGCGCTTCCAGCGGTGTTAAGTCCCGTCGCTCCACTGAGTCCAGGTCCAGCATCCTTAGCTACAAGCCCAGTGTGATCTTCACTCGCCGATCGGAGGTGATTGAGGATGAAAATGTTCCCAGGCGGAACAATCGAGTTGCGCTCCTGGCCGAGCAAGTTCTGCGGTGCGTTTCCAAGTCCCACACAGATGAGCCCGAATGGCAACCCTTGATGGAACAGGTCACCGACCCAGAGCTTAATAAGCAACCATTGGCGGAGAGGGAGGTGTCCAAAAGGTTCACCAGAGACCTGACAGACAGTGGAACGCCACTTTGTGTGGATCGCCAGTTGCTTTCGAAGGAATTCAATAAAAAGCTGCAGCGCCAGCTAAAATCAATTGTGGAGAGTTTCCAATGAATTTTTTGAGTGCATATATATTTTGTATTTATAATTACGTGACATTGAATATAACTCAAAACTTGTTATCTGCACACAACATGGAATAATTAAGTACTGGTAAAGTGACAAGGTATGTGGTTAAAGCAAGTATTTTGAATTCTATAAAGTATATTCATTCTGAATCAGTCGAGATTCTATGAAGTATATACATTAATATTTTGCATAAAAGCACAACAGCAAAGTTAGTATTTTTTTCATGTATTTATTCGATTGTTCCAATGGGAGCTATGTGCTATAGTTGTCTGATCCAGACCGTTCCGACTTATGTACTATTTGCAACAGAAAGATCAAGAACATATATAATTTATAAACTTCTGCGTGAAATTATAATAAAAACTAAGGTTGGAAAATCCACAAAGTTTTAAATTAGTTTTTATTTACATTGTTTTTCTTGCCCTGCAAGCATTAAACATAGAGGTGGTCCTAAATTAATGTGCTTTAAAGTTATACCATAGATATGTATATGGAATACAATTTTTTAAAAATATAATTTATATAAATTGACAAACATATTAAAATCCATTATAAATAGTTGTGTATAGGCCCAAATTCTCATAACATTATTCGTATGGTGTATTTTTCTCTGGGTGGAATGGCTTGGAATTGAGTTGGGGATTGGGTCTGGTTGTGGAAACTACTTGAAACTATCAGCGGCATGGCATGGCCGCCTGGCAGTCTGCTGGTTCGGTTTTCTTCGGCTGTGCTCTGGGTCCTAGGTTGAGGTGCATAAATCAACTTTAGTGCTGGCCAAGTGTCTTGCTGAAGGGCGCAGCTCTCGAGTGAAATTTAGGGCTGGAGCATTTGCCCCGCCCCCTGGCGCAGAGCATAATTAGACCGTGGCTACTGTTAGTCTGCTCGTGCACTTGCGTCCGCCTCCCACCGCCCTCTTTGCCGCCCCTCGAGTTGGCCATTCATTTTCCCGACACATACTAAATATGCTGCAGTTGTTTACATGATCGATCAGGGATCGGATCCCTGGGATCGGGCCTATGCTCGCCTGCATGCTCGGGATGCACCTAATTGCTAACCAAACACCACTGCAGACGCGCAAATATTGTTTTAAGGCACATCAACGTATTTCACCTGCCTAATGCCTAATGCCTAATGCCTAATGCCCAATGTCTGATCCACGGATCGATTGAGTGGGTGTATTTTTTGGGGAAATGTTTCTGTATTCATTCCCTACTTTTTCCCATAATGAAGTGCGTCTGGATATGTTTATAATTTACGATACAGTGCAGTGCCTATTTGTGGTTTCGGAATTGAAGGTAGGGTTGGGCGCGTTGTTGTTGTGTCACGAAATTAATACAATCAACACAATGTGGCCTTGTTGAAAGCACATCTTTTACGCCAATTCAATTCTATTTTTTAATCAATTTCGATTAAAGCCTGTATAAAACATTGGCCTGTTTTAAAACCTAACAAAATCGATGTGAATTGCTTTGACTGAACGGCGTAGTAATAAAATCTTTAATTTAAGAGTTCAAACCTGGACCAATTTTATTTTTTAACATTTAAACAACCTGAGTATATAGGTACTAAAATTGTTTAAATCACTTAAAGTAATGAAACTATTTATTTTATTTTACATGTATTTATTAAATTTATCTTCCTTGTGTTGTTGTAAATCAAATAAATAAAATGTATTCCTTTATTTTATTCGTAATTCCATAAATTTCGTCCGTTTAAGAGGTCAATCGATAAATATAATTCAAATGTTTCATTTAACACTAAAATAATTCATATTTTTGAATATTTTAAAATAATATTAATCGTTCTTGATAGAAGTGCTTCTTGAAAATTAAATAAAAATAATGTATTTTAAGCACATATAAATGAATTTTAACAAAGCAAAAGTGATTTCTGTTTCTAATCCAATATGCCAATAAAACAATACGATATATCTAACCAATTTCCCACACGCGTTCTGCCCACAAGGTACGATTAGCCCACGTGACTTTTCGTGGTCATCAGGTGAGCGCGCACGGCATAATTTAGACAATTTAGACAATTTATTGTGAAAAATGCACTCAATTTATATGACTTGATTATATTTGCCTTCCTTCCTGCCGGTCGCTGTCGAATGGCTGTGTTTGCTTAAGTCGCCGCATGCCGCACAGATCCATGACATTGGCTGGGACTCGGACATGGCCTAAACAAGACTGCGACAACAACACCCAGCCGATTGGATGACGATGATGGAGAGATGGGAGGGGGGGATGAACGGCTCGAGGCGCACCCCACGCCAATTTATTAAAGCCAACACCAGGGAAAAGTGACCGAGTGGCACAGGTTCTCCTGGGCCTATTCGATATGAAAAATTGCACGAAACTGCAAAGGCGCATATGCAAAATGCATAATTCATTTAACATTTTGTAAATCATTTGTTTGAATAGCACGATGACGGTGATGCGCGGCTAGCTCCCAGGGTCCTCCGATCCTCCGATCGTCCGATCGTCCAATTCTCCTCCAATCCCTCGATCGCCGGTCCCTGCAACAACCTGCCGCAGTCCAGCTCCTCTTGGCCAACAGTTAAGCTATTCGTCTGCCCTGACAAATCGAGAGTTGAGTCGGGCGGAGTGGACTCGGTTCGAGCCTGGGACTCTGGCGGGGGCATCTGGCTCCAGTCCCAGTCCTCAGTTTCAGTCCAATCCTGCTGCAGCAACACAATGGCCATGACGGTGCGCAAATATAATTTCACAACTGTCTGCACATGCTCCAAACGAAACGAGGCACAACGCAAAGGTGAAGCTGCATCGCGAGAAATGATTGAGGAATATTAGCTATAGTTTATAAGTTCTACAATTTATAAACTTATTGGTATAGTTTAAGGTTCTGATATGTATTTTTTTTAATTTCGGAATTAACAGTTTTCCTTTCTGTGTTTTTGTGAACATAACTTTCAAAAACTAATCCGATTGGAATCGTTTAATGAATTTTAATTTCGACAGATGAGATTTAAGAATAATAATTTTTTCACCAAAAAAAATGATTCATCTGATAAAAAAAATGTTTAATTTTTTTTACTTTAAAACAAGAAGAAACATTATAGCCAAAGGCCATAACTTTTAGATCCCCTTTTCTTGGCTAACCAAATTCAAATGGAATAGGTTTTAGGTGGGGCCATCTACCCCAGATTTTCATGCATGCCAATAACTTTTAAAATAATAGTTTGGTTTGATAGACTTTTTTATGAATCGATAGTTATTGACGAAATAAACATATAGAAGTTTGTAACTGAGTGACACGACAGACTTTACCGATGTCTGGGCGTAGGAGTGGTCTTTTTTTTACATTTGTAAATAAATTTTCGCTGCTTAGGCATAACTAGAATCTGCATGTTAAATCCCAATTTTTTAGCTTTTTTAATTTCCTAGTTCTCGACGTTTGGGACGGACGATCAGACAGACTAAAAATCCAAAAAAAAAATTTTATTACGCTTGGTATACCCAAAACTGCTTTCCAAACAAAAAACTTGTTATAAAAAAAGGCTTAAAATGTTGGTTCGTTTTTGAAGTTGTGAAGTTTTTTTGTTTTGGGAGCAATTTTGATAGCCTGAAACGCTAGAAACGCATCCATCTACCCGTCACAAACTTTTCAACAAATACAATATACCCTTTTTTTATACGATTAACGGGTATAATTGTGCCACCACAATGATTTTCCCAATTTTTCAGAATCTTATAAGTATAAGCTTTCATCTACAAAGCCATTTCTCTCAGTGTCGCAGCGAGACGAAAGCAACAGTGTCCAAAGCATAAAAAGAGCTCAGCCATAAGTCACAACGCCGAAACGACTTTTCAGCTTGGGATAATCCTTTTTATTATTATTTGTATTTGCCTCATCTTTTTGCCTTTGATTCCTGTGAAATTTGCATGCGTTGGGATTCCGATACCGTTTCCAACCCGATCCCGATCCCGACCCAGTCCCAATCCCAATCCCAAGTCCGATCCCGATCCCGATCCTCCAACGAGCTAATTTCGTTTTGTGTGCGAATATTGAAAAATTACAAAACTTTTAATGCGAGTGGGGTGAAGGGATTTGGATGGTATGGGTTCCAGCTGGACCCTTCCATTGAGATTTCTTGGGAACCCAGTTTTTGTGGCCGGTACTGTCTGTAATTTTAATGATCCTCCACTGACATCGTAACTCAATAAGTCTGCCGAGTTGCGATCGCTCCAGACAGACAGTCTGGGATCTGCTTGGCTTTCCCAGCCCAATAATTTATCATCTTTGGTTGCACTTCGAAAAGTAATTAAGGTTTCTCCCAGCTCGCGTGTGGTCGGTGGATGGGGAATGCGGCATTGGGTGTGTTGCCAGCCAAAACTATTGTAAGTCGAGTGTGGCGTTAAATTTTTGATTAAAAAACTATTAGCCAAGTGTAAAAATTATCGTTAATGTGCTGTGTGGTGGTGCCAATGCGTCTGCGCCGTGTCCAAGCTGTTCCAATATTTTTATTTATCGTTTGTGTTTTTACTATTGTTGTTCCACAAACGAAATGTTGAGGTGCTTGGCTTCTTGGGCTAGATAACACTAGTGAACAAAATACCAAATTGACTACAAATTAAAGTTACAAATGTATATGCTACTATTAGAATTCCCGCTTTGCTCTACTCTTGGTTTCAAACGGAAAGTAGTTTTCTATAATTTTCTGTTTAAAGACTCATAGTCTACTAAAAAATAGTTTATCTCTTTGAATACCTTGTAGAAATATGGCTAAATAAAATTAGCTTGTTCAGAAAAAAATATTAGAGATGTTTGTGGAGCACTTTTATATTTTTCTTTTGCTTACTAGTGTTTTAAAGTTTTTTGTTTTTGCGGCGCGGTGATCAAAGTGATGAATGAATAGAATTTTCAACATGAAAAATTAGCTGGCATGAGAGAATTCCTCAAAAGATTGGGAAGACAATGTAATTATCGATTGCTGGGTATTGAAAAGTTTAATTTATGCTCCAACCTGTTACTTGTTTTAGAGAGACTTTACCATCAACAAATTTTGCTAGTTAAGATAGTTAT